TATAGATTTATGTAGAGTTATGTTTCTGATTTGACTGAATCTCCCTTTAAAAATAGATAAATAGACGCAAGGTATCAGCAACAAAATAGAAAAAAACTGCATAATTTAGTATTACTGTATATATAGCATCAAGTGCAGTATCAAAATAATAATTAAAACCAAATATGTATGAAAAAATGAACACACATCAGTGTATCAGTGTATGTACTTTAATTTTTAAAAAGCACTACATGTCCCATCTACTTACACGGAGGAGAAAACTTAATGAGCTATACTGCAGACAGCCACAAGGGGTCAATCGAGCCGTTGTTGCTTCACTTTTTGGGAGCTGTCATGTCGTCCAACTTTATTTACAGTGTATGGTTGGTACCAAACATGTTTCGAGGTTTGATATCCAACTCTACGACACACTGACCTGAATGCTCCGTGTTTAAAATAACATGCGGGAGGCAGCATGTGAACGAGTGCTCTATGGATCGGCGTATTTGTTTGCAGGCATGTGTTTGTGGATTTTGTTGGACTAAGCAGAATATGTCCCTCTAAGACGAAAACCACTCTCTCACTAACTCTCTGTTTGTCATTGTGGCTGAGGAGGCAGATGTTCCTGCTCTCCCTCTGGATCTCCTTTCATCGTTTCAGCCCCGGTCTGTTTTTAGGCCTGGCTAATCGAACACAGCGTCCCCCCAGAGACATGAGAGATTCTCGTGTGATAGTAACTTTGGCTCCCGGACCAGGATGTGTCTGCCAGTTTGGAAAAAGCAGTTTAACAGATGAACTATTCTGTGCTTGGTTTTGTCGTTGTCTTTTCTCTTTGACTTCCTGTGAATGTATCTTTTTTTTCCCCCCGGTTTGAAATGCTAGTGACAGCCAAGATATTCAACTCTCGCAAGAGACTTTCTAGTCAGAGGTTTGGACTCAATTCAAGTAGTAAGGGTTAGAATCTTCTCCAGTTCTACACATCAAAGTCTGTTTACCCTTGCATATGGGAAGAGGTTGTATAAAATATTTTGTGGCTCCAGAGGGAGCTGCAAGAAATCAGATCAATTGCCTCAAGTGATGTCAATAGAATCGGTGTTTGTTTTAAAAACCTGAGGGTGTGGAGTCGAAGCGAGAAATGAATTCACCAGACGTCTGACGAACACTCGTCATCTCCACTGAAGGATGTAGAGGCTGAAGGCTACATTAGCCGCGACTACAATAAGAAACCTGTGGATGAAGATGTGATGACGACATGATAACTATCCCCGGAGACTCACCCTTAAACACACTGGTTCCTACTTTTGACGTAAACAGGTCACAATTCTTAAAATGTTTATTTTGTTTTTCTAAATCATGGAGTAACTCTGAATATAATTGATATTTTTTAGCTGTAAGTAGTTTGGTGTGCTAGTGAGTATTTACAGCAACAACACAGTGTTTTAGGAATTGACTTAAAATAAACAACAATTCATGGTAAAGAGGGAGAATTTCACTCAGTATAACTGTGGCTCACTGTGTTTTCAGTCGTTTTTGGAAAACAAAAGAGCTCTATGGCACATGGATGTGAGATAAACAGTAATCAGGCTTTGGCTGCTGAACACAGGCAATAATGGTTAAAATCATTTTTAGTTTTCTTTCTTTTTTTACTGGATTTGTTGTCTATAAAATGCAGAATATTTCCAGACTCGTGCTTTAAAAAGAGGCAAAGCGTACCTCAGGTTTTTCTCTTTGACTTTCCGTGCAGATGTTGAAAGAAATCTTTCAGAATGAAGGTGAGAATCATCAAAGCTGCTGATGTAATGACATGTTTAACTTTATTATCAGTTATTAGGATTGCACAAATATTGCTGTAACTCTAAATGAATAACGCCTGATCTTCAAGGTCGGCTCTTTACTTTCCTGAGGTCGTTACAGTGTACAGTGCATGTCTTTGAGCGGCTGCTGTCTCTATGTATGGTTGCAGCCGGTTCACACACAGCGTGCTCTTTCTGTTTTATGGTCATCTGGCTACTGACGGTCGACTTCCTCTCTAAATGAAGGTTACGCTGCTGTAGAATTTTACTCCATAGGCAGTAGATGGACCCAAAAGGAGACTGCTGTGTAATTCAGAGCAGCGCAGGGTCCAAGCGCAGTTAGTTTCACGATGGGGTCTGTGAGTCTGTTGGCTGAAGTCAGAACAGTGATATATTTTAAATTATATATTTTAAAGTTCTCCCCCTTTTCATTCACGGGAGCTTGTTCTTTTTTTTTTTTATCATTTATTTCTTCTTGTTCACCCCGACTTCCTTCGTTCCAACTCCTGCAGGCAGACGCTGGGTCTGGTCTTTCTACACTGTGTGTGTGTGTGTGTGTGTGTGTGTCTGTGTGTGATGATGCATCTGTTTGTGTACATTACTACCTGCCAGCACATGCAACATGCCAGGAATTGAAAAGTTATACTTTCTGATACAGTATTTCCACTGTTGTGCTCCTGGTGAATTATTATTCACATTAAAAATAACTAGGCTTCCTGTAAACCTTAAATGAAGCTGTAAAACCTGATTCCCGAGGGCCTGAACAGAGCGCACACTTTCCGCTGTCACTCCGTCTTATGTAAGATACCTCCTCTGAGTTTAAGCTGCTGCTTTTGTTATCAAATGAAATGTGCAGACATGGTGAATGACACAAACTCTCTGTCTGCACCAGGTAAAACCACATGGGTTTGCTGTGGGTGAGCGGGTGCGTTTCAGTGTCAGCAGCCAGTGCTTGCTTTACGGTGGGTTAACATCTCCAGGCTGAGCCGCTTGCTGAGGGAGGGAGAGAGAGCGTGGGGAGGTGCCAGGCTGCCATTGGCTCGGCAGTGGAAATTCACACCTGGCCAGTGCAGCTAATAAATGACTTGTGAAGAATATTAGCACTGTGGATTCTCTGTCGCACCTACAGAAAAGCTTATAATGAAACTTTCTTGTTTTAAAGTCGGGTCCAGAATCTGCGACCACTTGAAAGTGAGCCACTGTATGGGCTTCTGCTCGATGGTTTTCTAAAGTGTGCCTCACAATTAGTCCGAGCAAAAGAGGCGGTTTCAGTCTGGATCAAACTGAACCATCTGTAGTTTGCAGTGTTAAAAAAACCTTTTCTGGATATTTAAGACTTTCAGACCAGTTGGAGGAAGTTGAGAGACGGCATTAAAGAGAAGAAAAAGAAGCTGAAGTGACTCACAGGATTGTTGTCTTAACCTGTGAGCGATTCATTTGGCAAATGCGAACTTCCTTTTCTGCAAACTGAAATACTCTTTCTTCAAAAAAGTGAGCCAATATAAGAGCTGAATCGACAACACGCTGATGTCAGATGCACGCCCAGCTACACACCAATCAATGTCCAGTGTACACGCAGCCCACTGGGTATGGATTTTTGAAGCTCTCTTTGTCTAGCTAACAATTAAAAGGCTTTAAATCCTTTCAATTCAGCGATTTTTATGTATTTCTGCTTTTATTTCTTCAAAGTGTTGAGATGATCTGTGTGTGTTTGTGGGATCAGAGAGTTTCTCATCTGAAGTGCACTGCAGCAAATGTAACTGTCAGAGAATATCTTTCTTCCTCTGGAGCCTGTTTTGATTTGAAAACGTGTGCCGTCAATATGAAATCGGGTTTGATTTTCTTAATTAACTTGAGCAAAGTTTGGATTTACTTGAATCGACAGTGACGCGATCAACAGTGCAGCGCCCGTTCAAGGAGAGACAACTGTTATCTGTTAACATATTTACTTTATCTGTTTCGTATGTGATATGATAGAGAAACATTTAACGGTATGACAGTAATGTGCGGTGTCTGTAAACAATGGCAACCAAAGAGATCAGTGTGTAATCTCTGAACGATTGGAAGGAAATCAAACGCAGTTGTACACAAACCTACGTCATGTGTGGTTCCTGTGAGTGAAAGTGGATCAGAAAACTTGTGATTACACCACAATCACGAGGACTTAACACCAATTTACAAACGTCATTAACCAAACAATATAATGTGTAACAAGATGAGAGTTTTCTGAAAGGAGACATATTTTGCTCATTGAAAATATTCCTTTTAAAGTAGTTCTGATACGCAGGAACAACACAGAAAGAATAACTTAGAGCGTGGGTAGCAACTGATAAAGGTCTTACCCTCAGTAATGGCTGTGAATTATGGGAAATGTCAGCATAGCAAATTGCTTGAGTGAAACTACCCATAAAATGGCTGATAAAGGCCGTTGCCCCCGGTAATAACCTAATTCAAACAAACACGAATACATTTTTTAGACAATTTAAATCAATGTTGAAACATCATCGTCACTGTAAATATTACAGCGGATTACGTCAGCGATCAGGTTATATTGTGATTTACGAACCGTCCCGTGTGAAAGTGACCTTTAAACCTTGATAAGATCCATGTGATGGATCCAGTCGTTCGTTTTTCACTCCTCTGCGATGCACTGACTGGTTTTTTAGAAGTTGATAGATGGTGAATGAAAGAATGTTGGCGGACCCTCATCTGACCCGTGCTTCTTCATCTTTACAGCATGTCGTCTGATCCAACTCAGGTGATGCTAATAGGAAGCATACTGGACTATGTCTGTGTGTGTCTGCGAGTGTGTGTCCGCATGCAGGTGATCAAAAGGGTCTTTCTAATGTAGCCCATGTGTGCTTACATGTGAACCGTAATAGGTTTTAGATGCTCATAAACCTCTCTTTGAATGAAAATGCTCCACGGTGTCCGGTGCCACTAAAGAGTTTCCCCTGCTTGGAATAATTAAGAAGCTGGGCTGAACTCGTCTCTTTTTACGTAGACAGTGAGATCACTGTGTCATTTTTGCCACATTTTTCCACGACTGCACGTCCAGACAATAACATGATCAAAGTCTTCTCTTAAATCCTCCTCTGATTTAGTCGTGAAGATTTTTAGCTGTCTTGCAGTGTATTTTTTACTTTTTTTTGCACATCAACTTATCTTTTCCTCAAGCTCTCATTACACTTAGTAATGTTTCTAATTATATCTCCTCTCATTTTGCAGCGTGCCCACCTGGCACTTATAAACCAGAGGGAACACCGGGAGGTCTGAGCACCTGCCTGCCATGTCCGGACCTGCAGCACACGTCCCAGCCTGGCAGCACCTCCGTCAGTGACTGCGTCTGCAGGCCAGGCTATCAGCCAGTAGGCATGACCTGCCAGGGTAAGAGGAGCTGATCTGTTGACTGCTAGATCCATGACGTTTGATTTAGCCTAATCATGAAGGGATTATTACCAGAAAGGGTCCCAGAGGAGGGCTGATTATATTTGTCCACATTTTGTGGCGAGATACACGAGACCGCACCGACTCCACAGTGGGAAACCCCTAACGAGGCCCTGTGGCACTAACCTTCTGCCAAAAGTAATTTTAGAGAGCGTCTTACTGCATGTGTGACTGTGGTTTGCACACGCAAACCAGGTCCCTTTCGCCTGGGGCCCCCAAAGTCCTGAAAATCAAGCGAGCCTCATCTGTCATATCTCTACACACTAGAAATCCTCTGTGTTCTAGTGTCAGTAGACACAGTGGTAATTCAGCCTGTTTATGACATCTTGTGCATGTTTGTTATTCAAAACAGTGGTCGTCACGTGAAGATTCTCCCTGGGAAAAATGTGGGAGAAATTAGTTGTCTTTATTTTTCTGGCTGCAGCAACAATAGATGAAGCTGAGGATTTGGCAACTTCCACAACCAAATAGGTGGCATCAGCACAGATTTGCCCCCTGGCTGAAATCAAGATGATAATAGTCACTGCCCAAAAGAATTCAAACCCAATCAAGAGAAAAATCCAAGGAATAAGATATTACATTACTGGACATTAACCTGATGCACCAGATGGTTCGTTACAGAGAAACACCCAGAAACATCCAGAAACATTGGAAATGAAAAGAAAAGGTGCTTTTAATAAAATACTTGGAAGGTGATCGGATGAAGCATGTGTCTATCACCTCATACTTGCTGAAGCCAAGGAGGAAAAGAGCGAAAAGATTAATTTCCATTGATAAAAGCCTGTTGTGCAGTTTTCTGCTCCTCACCTCTGATATAACTGATGCTTTATCGACACAAATCTACTGCGGGGGTCGCCAGCTCCTCATTTTTGCTAAATCTATAGAAATGTTGACGAATCACTTGGAACACAAACACAGATGTGTGAGAGTAGAGCGTCCTGCATCATAAATCTGCCTTCGGTAATTTATCCGACCCTCCTATTTCTTAAAAAATGAGTGGGTGATTTCCACGCAGCAGTTCCTCTGAACACAGTGATGTTCATTAATCACCAGTTTGTGATGATCTGGGAGGTGATGTCTGACAACCTGTACTTTTCTGCTTTCATGCTTTGTTATTGTAGGAAGATTACGTTTCCGTTCGGTACCAAAGACAGCCGCCACTACCTGCTCCATCAGTAACCTCTCCTCCCCTCTCCCCTCTCTCCTCCCCTCCTCTCCTCTCCTCCCCTCCTCTCCTCCTCCAGTGGTGTATTGTCCAGCGCTGTCCCCTCCTGAAAATGGCTTTTTCATCCACAATGTATGTAACAACCACTTTGAAGCTGCCTGCGGTGTGCGGTGCCAGCCAGATTTTGACCTCCAGGGAACCAACATCAGACTGTGCCAGGCTGACGGCACTTGGTCAGGGACGCCTGCCACCTGCAGAGGTGAGAAACTTCTCTGTCAGTGAAAAGAGGACTTTGACAATTATTATCATGACTAACTAACGACTATTCTTCAGTCTTTTGCTCAATAAAATGTAAGAAAATAAAGGATAATATTCATCGGATGCTCCGAAAGTCTAATGGGACTTCTTCCATTTGTTTGTCTGTTTAAGCAACAGGCAAATTTGGAAAAGATCTATATAAACACAGTACAAACTGTCTCACAATACATAAAATAACCTGGATCCAACCTCCTGAATCAAATCTACCCCGTCCCTCCTTCCACCAAGTTTCAGGAAAGTCTGAGTTGCAGTTTTGCGTAATACTGCAATGAAAACATACCCTCCATGGCAGAAGGTAAAAACAAAGCAGAACTGTGAAAAATGTCGTTAGGGAAAGCAAGTATAGCACATTGCATCAATTCACATTACGTAATTGCAGACTGATAATTATGTATTATCTGGCACGGAGCATACAGTATGTTACAGTGCAGACACAAACATACAAGCCTGTCTGATTAATCCCAGCAGGTTCCTGCTTCACACCCCAAGTCTCATATACTTTCCTCATTAAACTTTGGGACTCGATCAAAACACTCAAAGTCTGCAGCTTCTCCTCGGATCCCTGCAAACCGTCACGTCTAAAGAAGATGATGTGTTGCAGTGATTCATTGCAACTTTCCAACGAGCGTGAGCGTGTTAAGGTCTCTCGCTAAGTATTTAGGTCACATGTGCTCGCACTGAACGAGGAATCAGCGTTTACTGGGAGGCCGGGGAAGGAAGGAAGGGAAGTAGGAAAGGAAGGACGGAGGGTCTCATGGAAGGAATACGAGTGTGAGGGAGATGAAGAACAGACAAGAAAGAAAGAAAGGAAGAGGGAGTTTGACAAGTCAAGAGATTAATGAGATAAATACTGTTTTAACCAAAAGACAGTGAGCGGGTGACTCACAGAAATACCAAGACACTGAATATTCAAGGGTGTGTGTTTTACAGTGTGTGGCTTTGGGTATATATTTTGAGTGTGTGTGCTTATACATGTATGTGTCACACTCAGTCTAGTCTTCGCCACATACTGTTGGACCTCCCATGGAGTTAAGCCCTGAGGGAGGGGGTCTCCTCTGAACCGCCTGTCTGTCTATGGGTGGGGATGAGAAAAAACGCAACACTCTTCTCCAGACAGCAGCATAATTGAGAGACACACAGGAATGTGTTCTTTTATGAGTTAAATATGATATGGGGCTGTACATTCTAATGGCCGATTCATGTGTTTTTCCGTGAGTTATATGGATATTTATACCTGTGTTTGTCAGTTATTCCTCAAACCAGGGTAAAATATTTCAAAACCACATAATAACAGAAGCATACAGGTGTTGTTTGACAGGTCGCACTACTTCAAATTTACAGTACACAACAAATCTCTGTGCAATATCCCTAAAAAACTAATAATCTAAAATTGCATCATCTGATTATAAATTTGAAAAACTGAGAGAAAAGATGACTCCTCGTCTCGAGAAGGTAGGAAAGGAATTTCCCAAAATGACCACGTGATCACAAGCACCTAAAAATAAAAGCAGTAAAACATGTTTGGAGCATTTTAGGCAGTAGATGAATTGCCTTCATGGTTCTCGGGCTTTGTTTGTTTATTTTGGTTTGCGCTCCAAACCAAATAACAAATGTTTTACTGACTGTCCAATTTTTATAGCTCCCTAAATTGGCTAAACCATAAATTTATGATGTACTTACAGCAAATCAAGCTCACAATAATAACACAAGCCTTGGACATTTCAAAATATAACAATATGCATTCTGTGTCTCTGATTTGCAGATTGTTAATCTTGATGTTTATTGTTTCACGACCGCAGTTCGATCCTGCCCGCTGCTCTCTCGGCCGCAGCACGGATTCCTTAGGTGCAGCGATGGCGGTGCCTCCTACAGGGCGGAGTGTCAGGCAGGCTGTGAGCGAGGCTACAGGCTGGAGGGGGACGTCAGACTCACCTGCCAGGCCAACTCGCAGTGGAGTGGATCCCAACCTCGGTGTGTGGGTAAGACTTCATCTCCAACAAGCCACTGGCTCACACATACAGATGACTGGTTCAGTTTAATCACTCGTTAAGGTCCTGCTCCGAGGAATTCACCTCTGTTTTTATTTTCATCTAATACACTTTTATCCCAAAGTCTCATGTTATTTGATTTGTACAAGATGTAGAAAAGATGTGGGACGTTTTTGGATGCGCTGCTGCAAACATTCTCTTTTCTCTGGTTGAAATATACATTTATAAATTACCAAGATCTGTAAATGTGGACAAAAAGACCTGGTGCATGTGCCGTATCCCCGATGCCATTGACAGGCGACCACCTGGATTAAAATTGTGTATTTCTCCAGGTTTTTAAAATAGCTGGAAACATTTGGAATAAATACCCAACAAAATATAGAACCCAAGTCTTAATCATTTGAATGTATAGGCTCATATTATCTGTTTAGGTCACTGAATAACCTATAATCTGGGGTTTTCTATGTAAAAACATGTGGTTTTACACACGTATGTAAACGCACATGAGAACACTGACTCACACATGCACAGTGGTTAAACATATGGTGCGTATTTGCTGGGCACACTACATCATCCTCAGAAAGATACATCTGCTTTCTCATCGCGCAGCTACAATCCCCATATATACACACGCACGCAGAATTACCCACACACTTCAAAACTGATAGTTAAGTTAAAATAAGTTGCGCACACTCATGCCCTCCACAGAGAGCACGCAGGTCAGGCACAGCAACACACAAGAGAGAGACCGTGTGAGAGTGTTTCACCGCAAACCTCCGGCCTCAACTGACTCACTTCCAACCAACCAGCTCACTGCGCTATTTAAAACGCCCGACTGATCCGTTTCTGAAGAACTCTGGGTTATCGATAGCTACCATCTCGTTGCCCCCCGCTGCTCTGACTGAGCTGCAGATTGTTTGTTTGACCGTCTCCGTGTTTGCCCGCAGACTGTCGTTACCTCTTTAACACAGCTAAGAGGCCTCTGTGGGCTGCTGCTGCAGCTGAGCGGTTTGTTTTAGTGTTTGTTTGCACAGTGGTGAAACAGGATCGCTTCGGCTGAGAGGATGGAGATATTTTTTCATCTGATTGAAATGTACCCCTCAGCGAGCTTCTTCTCGCAGCTGAAGCCAGCGGAGCAGGAGGCAGAGGATGAGAATGATCCATCCATCATCAAGTCAAAGCCACATGTACAGTTAAAGCCCCAGAATAAATATAAAAGGCCTCCAGTGTAAGAGTCCTGTGGTCTGTGCTCTCTTGAGTTGATTTCCGACCAAATGTTTGTTTCCTTTGTGCCAGTTTCTGATACGCACACACACTGAAAATAGTTTTATTGTTGGCATTTATAGTGGAGGGTAATCAAAGAAAGATTTTATCACATTCTGGTAAACACACAGGAAACGTGATCCAGATCTTGAAATAGTTTTCTTTTCTTTTTTCGGTCTGTTCCGCTCTAACCAACCTTATCTTAAAGTACTTTTTTCCTAATCTCATCAATGTACAATACATTCTATCAAAGCACTGGTTGTTCCTCAATAATTCATCAAAGAAAAAGTCACGAGATCCAGTCATGTGTCCCCAGCAGATATTTTTTAAAGGAATGAAATAAACACAATCAGATTCATCTCCTTCTCCCCCTCTCTCCCCAGAGGTGCGTTGTCCCCCTGTTGTGGCTCTGAAGAACATCCTGCTGTCGCCCCCTGCCTGCGGGAGGAGGGCAGCATCGCCGGGCTCCTTTTGCCTGCTCACCTGTCGTCAAGGTTACAGTCTCCAAGGAAACAGGAAGGCTGTGTGCATGGGCTCCGGGAACTGGACCGCTAACGTCCATAAAGCCGTCTGTAAAGGTGATGTGTGTGGAAGGTGCATCCTTTCATTTCAGAAGTTCTGAGGTCAGAGGTCAGGGTCGGTGTAGGGGCTGTAAAAAAGGTCTTAACCAGTAAGTTTTTAACAATACAGTTATTATCTGTCTCTCGGATGTTAGATCAATCCTTTGTCTTTGCATGAGCCATGGAAAAAGAGCAGGGTGGCAGTTCAATTCAAAAATATGCTTACAAACACTTTTACACAGACAGAATCATAAAAACTAAATTATCTGGCGCACTGTGACTTCCATGTTTGACTGTCTATAAAGATGGAGACCGCTTCTCCACTTTCTTCCACTATCCAAAAGTTATTAATACAAAATGATTAAGGATGGAACGATGGATCCATAAACTTGATCTTCTCACTGGCCATATTTTACTGAACTCCCTTTGCCAAACAGTTTTCCCCCCATTGAGATGTTTGTACATTTAACAAGGCTGCTTGGAAGATTGAATTCTTCTTTCAGCGCTGGAGTGAATGACACTTGTGATGTGTGAAAAGATGGATGGTCAGAAGAGCTGGAAGGAAAGAAACAGAGGACGTGGAGAAATCGAGGAAGATTTAAAAATAAAACAGCAGGAAACTTGGAAGGAGAATTTTCTTTTCCATCCTCCATTCCCCCCTCCTCTTTGTGAATAGTGAGAATGGTGCTAACCCTGTTTCAAAGCGGGCCTCAGGTCACTAACTCAAACCATCCCATGTCCGAGTTCTCGCGTCCCTCCCCTCCACCCGGCCTGGGCTCTGTCTGGAGATCGTTAAAACCGGACCAGATGCCGTGCAGGTGGAACAGGTGGTGGCGAGCGGCTGTGCCCGCCTCCCCCTCCCATGTCCTAAATCCCCTAGTATCCACAGGAGAAAGTTTCCTAACAGAGGATGAAGCGCAATAAAGATGAATAGATTGGAGATGTAGGGCGGACAGGGAGGTGAGAGGTGAGGATGAGTCATCCGGAGGCGATTATAATTAGAGAAGATTACATTTTGTTTCACCTGGGGCTCAAATCAGCTGATGGAAGAAAAAAGATGAGAAAATGAGAAAGAAAGAGAACTTTAGTGTTCTTTGTCAGCTCCTGGCTTTCTTCACCTCTCACTTCACACTGATGACACCCAGAACGAAGTATTCCTCCCTCTCTGTGAAGATGAACGCGGCCGATTGGAGCCGTGTGTGTTAGTGTTTAGCGGAGACGGATGCCTAAGTAGATGGGTCATCAGGTCCAGATGGGAGCGGACTCTCTTACACAACGCTGCAGACCTCTCTCCATCGATGGGAGATTCAGCTCTCGGAGGCTTGAACTGAGCTGAACTGTGCCGTGCTGGCTTCTTGTTATTACAACATGCTGTAGGAGACAAAAGGAAGAGATGGTTTCATCCAAAGGTCACCGTGGTTTGTGCATTTGCCACCAGTCAAATGTTATTTTTCTCGACCGCCCATGATCTGATATTTCCTACTGGAGGAAACAAAGTCTGAAAATCACTGACAAGGAGAGTGAGAAGAGTTTGTCTGCTTGTCTGGGATCCTGCAGACTCAACGGTCTCACTCAAATCTTAATTCTTCTGTTAGTCCCATTGCTTTTTACTTTTATAGCACAGTAAATGATCAATTACCATTTATGTGCCTCTTTGAATCTCTTCAGATACAGATTTGTTTGTGTTTTTCAGGACAAGCAGGGCTGCTGGAAAACAAAGCAAGATATGAATTCTGTTTCAAAAGTTGAAAACAGAACAGTAAAATAAACAAAATGCTTTGATAAAATTATGTACTTACTCATAACTAATAAATCCTACAGGCTGATATTCACTGCAACAGTAAAAAAAAATCCACTTTACCCCCCTCACATTTCAGAATGATCTAATGTCAATAAGACTCCATCTTCATCTCCACACAAAACACAAACTGAGTTACTTTGAGGTCCAGATGATATTTTCCTCTCTCCTGCTCTCCACACGGTCTGTTTACCTGCGGGCAACCAAAGTCTGCTCAAACCTGATTAGTCAAACTAGATACAGAAACCAGAAGGTTTCCCAAAACACCTCCAGACTCTGCATACTCACCCGCAGAATGTGTTTACACAGATTACTGCAGTCCTATGAGTAGTTCTCAACCTGTGCGTCTCCCTCACACAGTCATCAAGCCCAAGAAATACAATTTAGCTGAGATGGCGCTTTTCCGTGACCCCGACTGTTTTGACAACGACCGAGGGCAAGTTTCACACGTCATTCCACCTCTATCTGTGTTCATCTCCGCTCCACCATTGTTGCCTGACGCTGAGGTAATGGATGGACACGATCACGCCTGTGGGGTCTGGTCTTGTGGGAACGGTGACAGCCGTGCGCTCTCAGTTCTGAACAATAATGAGTGTGGGATGTGTTGCGATTAAAGAGGTCAGGGGTCAGATGACATCACACACCTACACCTCCTTCAGTGATAAGAACGAAGCAGGCTGAGGTCAGTCTGTTCAGTTTGTGATGAGCTGAACATCTGCAACAGTCTAATCTGATTTCTAATTCAATTTAATGGAGTTAAAGCATGTTCATCGTCTGATTCTCATCTCTTTCTTTCTCCGTCTCCTCTTCAGATGCTGAATCACCAAGGATCCAGTGCCCTGCGGACATCGTCGCAGAGACAGATGAGCGGCGTGGGACCGCCAACGTCAGCTGGAACGTCCCAAATGCCACTGACAACTCCAAAGAGGAGGTTGGACATTACATTTTTTCTTAAACTCTCAAAGATTTGCTTTCGTTAGCTTTCTATTGTTCAGTCTATAAAATGATAGAAAACTGTAAAATGCACATTTAACAGGACACGTTAAATTACCTTTTATCTTTCGTCCTTTAATCCTAGTTTTTTTTCTCTCCTCTTCATATTGACTGTCTCTCGCTCCTCCAGGTGACGGTGCAGGTGAAGCCAGTCTACGCTCCTCCCCAGCTGTTCCCCATCGGAAAAGAGACCATCACCTACATCGCGACCGACCGCACCGGGAACCAGGCCAACTGCTCCTTCACCGTCACAGTCATCGGTGAGCTCATCCTCTTGGAAACAATGGGTGCTGCATCTGGTCTCCATGGCCTGTTTTAATACGAGAGAGGGGAAAGCTTTGAATACAGTGTCCCGCTTGACTTTTTATAGGCTTTATGGATGATTGTTTATATCTCATCTAGAATGTTATTAATTACGGGAAGAAATGCTTTAAAGACAATGTGAAATTGATCAATCCTGCTGTTGGTTGTACTAGAATCAAGGTGCTCTCAGAGTGCAAACGCCCAGATCCGCCTGTTTATTCAGATCCGCTCCACATTGAATGGCCTCCTCCTGGCTCATTAAAATCGGTTCAGTAGTTTTTGCGTAATCCTGCAAACTAAAAGAATGCCAGTGAAAACATAATTGAGGTAATTAAATCCAGTGTTTTCTGAGACATTTCCATGTCATAAAGCTTCACAGTGTTAACATATCGCAAGTGTAAGACAATTAGCAACATGTGCTCAGCAGTAAAAGTCTCTGGCACAAAACCCAGAGATGTAATAACGCTCTAATGAAGATCTAACTTTGCTTAGAAACAGTACATGACGATCAAATGTAACCATTGCTCTTTTTCACGCGTAAAAGAGTCGAGTGAGTATTTTACTTTTAACACAGTTGAGCAGCTTCACGGGGTCATAAGGTGGGCGCCCTCCTTCATTGGTGTTTCACAGATTGGGCCACGTCACCTCCAGATGCTTGTCCTCTGACTCTCATCCCCTTCCGCAGCACCCAGATGTAGATGTGGCCACGAAACCTCTGCAACAATCCTCTAACATTTTAACTTCCAGGCACTTCTGCAAAGTTGACCATATAATCAGATGGAATGATCTCTGGTGCGAAGATGAGTGTCTGTCCCAAGAGAATTAGTTAATATACGCACTTACTTGTTTCCTCTCCGGTACAGGACATTCCTCCACCTCTGTGCTGCAGCTTATTTCTCTCATGCAGTGTAGAGCTATGATTTAATTGATGTACTCAGCAGCGAGGGAGTTCATCCGCCCCGGCAGGTGCCAAACAGTGTTACTGTGGGGAGAGCGAAAAAGAGGGGTGTCCCATGTCAACCGCTCAATAATCACAGCAGTCAGGGGGAAAAACCTCAAGCATGGTAGCTGTGAACATTTCCATATGTTATTATGGTGGTGGAACGTTGTGGTTTTTTATTAGAGACATGTGTTTAACCAGTGCCCTCTGACACCGCTGCCTCGAAAAACTCCTATCACATCGTAGCACACTTCTCCCAACTGGGTTTCTTTCACATTGTTCTAATGTATTCCAGTCTGGGAACAATTGTGTGTTTTTGCATTAAATCCGCACCATGTTTTTTTTTTTTTTTT